TGTTTCCTATTTTGAGGCTTTCATTTTTTTTTTTTTTAACCCACCCAGCAAGCCACCAACCCGCCACCATTTTTCCACCACCTGTCTTCCGCCTCCGGCACGCCATAATGGTAATGCAGAAAAGTTGTAAATTGACAATAGAATGTGATCGAACTAATCCAAAGTCGCTACACCAAATCAGCAAGATTTTCAGGACTTAACAAAGGAACCCACTAACCGGTCGACGAAGCAAGTAAACTAATAAAAAACAACGGATTGTATCCTATAATCTATATTTGGTTTTTTGAAAATGTGTAATAATTCCCATCACTGACCAAGTGTAGAGAGAGAAAGTTTGAATATGGTTTGACTACAAGTAAATATTACGAGTAAGAAAAGTGTCGAGCAAAATGGTTAAGTGATCAGGGGGGTTGAGAGAAAAGTCAAAAATGTTGAGGTTATTTCATGTAAAGATAGATCATGAATCGTATGAACCTTATAAGACATATTCGTGTTTTTGCTATTTTTTTGGGACCGCCATCCTATAAAAAATAAAAAAACAGAAACCACATTATACGCATTACATTTACAACCGCATAAAATAAGAAGATTTAATTGATTATATAATTAACCAGAATCACAGAGTATTCATTAACAACAAAAGTTCCAGTATGACAATAAAATAAACCGCACCTCGATAAGACTTACAACCAACCCACCCCCACCACCACCACCACTATCGCCTTCACAAGTCCACATACTGGATAATTCACTAAATAAGAGAGTTACAAACTACTACCAAACAAAACATAAGCCACCTTGGCATTGACTATACCAGATGTAAATACAAACCAAAACCAACATAAACATAGGGCACAAGGTCATAACTAAAGCCTCAACAGCGCGCAAAAAAAGCTACGTTCTTCTAGGCGAGGAATGTGCGATAACAATACACTGATACCCTAGAAGAACAATGTAAGGATGTCCCAATGATAGCAATGTGGTAAGCACAACGCGTTAGTTAAGAGATAATAGCAATAACCATAATATAGAAGACATGCAGTAAAGTCTACTTTAAAACCACAATTTATGCACTTCTTAATAGAAACATACAATCCTTAGCACCCAACACATTTGTCTCTAGAATCAGCCGGTCTAAGCAAACTCGAGAACTTTAATTTATGAATCAGAGACAACCCAATCAATCATGTCCGGGTGTTTACTTTCTTGTTTTAAATATAAAACATTTATAAAAATTAGATTGGGGATCCACATTAACGATAGGCACCAACAGCTGCCACGAACTTACATCACATGCTCAACACACTTACTCCACACCACCGACACCACTACGTCCACATCTTAAAATTGACCAATAACAACAATAAATCTCACACTAAAGCGACCCGGAATCCGGTGTGGGGCGCCTGCGGATTCGGCACCTGTATTTTCATTCACACTTCTCGGCCATTTAGCGAACATTTCCATCCAGCGAGGACCGCAACCCCAGTGTATAGAATATATCGACCTGCTCGTTTTCCATACCAAAATGCATCCGCCGGGCATTCGGCACCCAGTCCCGTCATACACCCCAATCTAAATCCAAAATGCCATTTTATACACAAAACGGGAACTATTAACCCCGCGGGATTCGTGCACAAAGCTTTCGGGGGGTTAAAAACACCCCCAGTACCCAATCTCTATAATAACACAACTTGTTACGTTTTCAATTCATCCTTATTTAACATAAAATAAAACTATGATTCTACCACTTAACTAATTCTCAGACATTCTTTTTCTCCCTACCTGTATTTTTTATGCCCATCAATAGCCCATTTGTTAATATCTATATTTATCAAACAGATATTTAAATCCTAAAGCTAACAGTTCATATATAAAATTAGTTTATGGAATAATCATCATACATTTATCACAAAAGTGTTTGGAGTCTTTTTGTCAACGGGAATAGCGAATAGTCTCTCATTTCTTTTTTTTATTCTATATTTTTTACTTTTATTTTACTACACAATTGCTATACCACCTAATTCTCTAATATCATCAAATGCTTTGAAAATCAAATATTCTTGAGCTAAATTTACTCCCTCACATTTATTTCTTCCTCTCCCCAACTTAGCCAATATATTTTCACATAAATTTCGCCAATTCTAAGTAACAAATCATGCATCCATTATAACTAATGACACCAAATAACCCCAACCCCAACACATTTTTTGTGTTTTTATTTTTTGGCCAAATTTATAAACTGAGACCACTGATTTATAAATCAAAAATTTTGCCAAACAAGTTTTTATTTGAGTTTTTTAAATTTTTGTAAATATAAACAGAAAACTGAAAACGTAAGTGTTACCAAACGGCCGTAACAAACTTTATCAAAAGCTTATTTTCCATACAACGTGTAAATTTTCAAAAAAGGTCTAACTGTCTTCACCAAAGATGTAACTCCTATTTAAAAGGTGTACAATTTTTTAAACA